GAGAGAGAGAGAGAGAGAGAGAGAGAGAGAAATGAAGCACTTCCTAATGGGGCCTGGTTATGCCACACCCCTTTTTCGTCCACTTGACCATCCCATCAACTTCCCGAACACATTCATGAACCCTTGGTGTGTTTTCCAAGCTACCAGGGCTGAGACTTGAACCCTTGTCTGCAATGTGGAATCTGGCTTCCTTTACATAGTGTTCAACTGCTCTGCTGTAAGCCAGGCCTCCCTATTACCGTTACAAATAATTACACACTTAATTTATTCTATTATTGTAATTTATTCTGTTACAGTTCTGGAGGTTAGAAGTCTGAACTCAGTTTCACTAATTTCAGGGGAAGTGTGAGCAGTTCTGGTTCTTTTAGGAAGCTCTGAGGAGAATCAGTTCCATTGCCTTTTCTAGCTTTTAGAGGCCACTAGCATGCCTTGACCTATAGGGTATTCTTCCACCCCCGTTTGTACACTGGCTCCTCAGGAGTGAGCACAGGCAATAAGTTGGTGGCAGGACACTGGCCATACCTGGGCCCCAGGCCCCAGGGAGACCCTGTGGCCCATGACACGAAAACGCCTTATATTTGCCCCCTTTTAAAGATTTTTTTGAAATACAACCTTTTTACTTAGTGCTCCATCTTTGTGGTGTTTGCATTTTGTTGTTCTCGTGTGCCTTTTTCCTTGCAACTCCTTTCCCTTTTAAAGTGTGCTTTCTTCACCAAGGGTGGTAGCAGGTGCCCCTCAGGAGTCTTCTCCGGCTGTGGGTGGCCTCTGGCCAGCAGCTCGGCTCTGAAGGGCACCACAGTGCTGAGCACCCCCCTGGTCTGCTGGGGGAGGCCGGCCCCTAGACCCAAGCAGTGGCACGGCGGTGCTGAGCAGGAGAGGGTGTTCTCGGGTAGCCTGGGTCAGGGCTGCAGTCTGGGTTTCAGCCCAGTGGCCCCCTGGTGCCTCTGAGCAGTCTCAGGGCAGGAGTCAGGAAGCCACTGCCGCCACCGCCCACCCCCACCCCACTACTGGTTCTTGTGGTCAGACGCTGCCTCAGGGTGCCCAGGAGTGGGTGGAGGCTTGGTTCCAGCTGTGAGTGCAGGGCCTCTTAGAGGTTGCCCGCTCAAGGCCTCAGCCCAGCTCCATTCAGTCCAGGGGGTGCTGGGGCGCCCCGTTATGGCAATGCACTTGTCTGGGGGTGCTGTCGCTGCCGTGGTGTAGTCCTGCCCACCAGTCCCACGGGGCATGGTGGCTGTGGGGCTGCAGTGCTGACCCGCACTGCATTGCAGCGATGGCTCCCAGGGTCGGGTGGGCTCCTCCCCACCCCGCCAGCCTAACAGCTCATTGGGGGGTGCCACCACCACTGCCACCAGCTGTGTGTATGGGTCGTGAGGTCTGGGTTGGAGTCGTGGCTCTGCCTAGTTAAGATTGGAGCACAGGGCTCAGTCACCCACCCAGGGTCACAGCCGTGGGGTCAGTGCTGGCTGTAAGTGCCCTGAGCGGCTCCCCAGCAGGTGTCCCCACATGCACACCCTGAGGTGGTCCCACACCCGTGTGCTGTGCATGTGTACAGAGCACGCAGCCATCCGCGCCCACACAGACACAGCCAGGAGGCAGCCAGGGTGAGCACACATGTTGGGATACAGAGTGGGGGGGCGTGTCCTGGTTCTGGGCTTACACAGCGCCGCCCCAGGCCCGCAGGCATTGGGGTCTGCAGGCTCGCAGGCCCAGCCCCAGGCTGAGCGCCATCAGCACAGCCACAGCTCCGGCCAGCAGGGGCACCGCAGCAGCTGCAGGAGAACGTGGGTGAGTCCTGGGGTTTGGGGCCCCCTCCCACCCCGGCGTGGAGGGCTGTCACCTGTGGGCGTGGTAGCCTCACGGGAGCTGTGGCAGGGGATCCCGTAGGCAGGTGGGTCAGCTGGTGGAAGTGGCCCAGTGGGCAGGGGCCTGGGCACCCAGGGAGGCTCAGGGGCAGGGGCGGGTGCGCAGAGTCGTTGCGGTAGAAGAGGGAGACGGTGATGTTCCTGGAGGGAGAGCACATGTCACCTGCCTCAGCGCCGACCTTGATTCCGGCGAGCCCAGAGCCAGTGTCTCCTAACCAGCCTTGGCTGCACTGCACCTGCTCCTGGGGCCTTCAGCCCCACCTGCCCCTGTGCACCTCCCAGTCCTCACCCGCCGTCTTCCTCGGGGTCCCCAAGGCGTCTCCGGAACTCAAAGCCAAGGCAGGCGGCGTATGGCGGAATGTGGCCATCGTAGAGGCCCAGGGCGCCCTGGAGGGCCAGCAGGGTGCTGTCATGCTGCAGGCGGACCCAGGGCTGAGACATGGGCTTGTACATGTGGCCGCTGCTTAGGAACCCTGCCCCGCACAGCCACCTCCCCAGCCTGCCCTTCCCTCCTCTCCCTGGAAGCAGTTAGGGTCGGTCTCGGTCGTAGTTAATCAAGACCAGTCACGTAGATGCGGAAGGGGATTGGGCAGCCTGGTCCAGCCTGCAGCCTTGCAGAGCACAGACCTCTGACACCATCACCTCCCTCTTCCCACACTTACACCTTTAGTGATATGGCCACGAGTAGTGTTTGGAGGTAGGGGTGACCTAAGGCAGTGGGCAGCTCTTCCTCACACGTCACATGCCCTTATCCCTGTACCCACATGGTGCCGTTCCCTCCCAGGACTCACAGCCGAGTACATGACCATCCTGAGGGGCAGCCCCAGGCGCTGGGCACGGGAGAAGTTGGCCAGGATGGCATCCAGCAGGATCCCTGAGAACAGGGACGGCACTGGGAAGACCTGAGGACGCCTCCACGGCCCGGCCTCCCGGCCCTCATCTCACCCCCAGTCAGCTGGGCCTTCTCTGCCGCCCGTGGTGGGCCCACGTGGGCCCCAATATCCAGAGCCGAGATCTGAGCAAGGGTCTGCAGGACGTCCGGGGAGGCCCAGGATGGGAGACGGAGGCCATGGGCTTGCTGGGGAGACAGGAAAGGAGGCGGGAGGCCCCGAGCACCTGCCCCCCCACTCCGCCCCCATGAGCACGAGTGTGAGGAGTGTGGTGGGCGACCACGACTAACACCAACGGAGCACTTTTCTCTACCCCTCAGGGCCAGAGGCGACGGACGGCTGGGAGTTGACACTAACTCGCAGCAGGGCCCGGGCCCAGGCAGCCCCTCAGGTCCAGCTGCTGCTGACTGCCGTGGGTGGGACATGCTGTCGGGACGGTGCGGGTGAGTGCCTGCCACCCAGGCTTGGGGTTGGGCGCTGTCCTGGTGCGGAACTGCAGGGGCGCAGCCTCAGCCCCTGCTGTGCCCTACTGTGGGGACTAGCCCCCCTTTTTAAAGAATTACTGTGTTCATTAAGGAGACGTGAGCAAGTACGCGGCCGGGTCCTGGACTGGCGCAGCTGCCACGTGGGCGTCTGGCGCTCCTTCCCGGCAACCCCGGGAGGTGTTAACCAGGGTCTCCCCGCTGTGCAGAGGGGGAACCAAGGCATGGAAAAGGCGCACCTTAACGATGCTAAGGTGGGCGTGAGCCCCGGTGTGTTCCACCCACTGGGAGCAGAGGGGCCTCACCTGGCAGGTCAGTGTGTCCAGCACCTTCCATGCCCTTCGGAGCGGCTCCCCAACCAGCGACAGTCCCGTGAAGTTCCCCAGGCGGCTCAGGAAGTCCTGGGTGCAGGGCCTGGGTGAGTCCCCGCCAGCCCTCCCGCCCGCCCAGCTCGCCCAGGGCCCGCCCGCTCACCGTCCAGCCCTCTAGGGCCTCCTGGTACTCGGCAGCCTCCGTGGCCTCCCGCAGCAGCTCACGGTAGCGGGAACAGCTGCGCATGGGGAACCTCAGTAGCTGGGGGAACAGGCTCAGGATGGCAGCGTGCCTGGGCACTCACGGTGGCCGGGTGTCCTGTCTCGCCACTCCAAGCCGCCCCAGGCT